CCTAATAAAATGTTAAAAAAAGAAAAAAAAAAAGAAAAAAGAAAATAAGGTCCCTGAAACCCCTGTGGAGTAGTTTTCCCATGACACAACCAGGTCACCATGAGTCAGAATGGACTAGAAGCTAACTGGTATGCATGCCTTATACAGTATAGCACGGCCCTGCAGAGGGCTAACTGCCAGGGTGCATGCACATCCTCGTCCCACCACTCCCTAGGCGTGAGGCCTTGTTCAAGTTACTTAACCTCTGACTCATTTTCCTCCTCCATCACATGGGATAAGAAGATTGCTGAAAAGTCTATGAATAAGTACATGCAGTGCCAGGCTAGCTAAGTACCATGACAGTGATGTACATAAAATGTGTGTTATACCTTCACAAGGACCCCGGGTGGCCTAGTCGGGTCACACATCGGTCTGCTAAGCACAAGGTCAACAATCAGAAACCACCAGCAGCTCTACGGGTGAAAGATGAGACTTTCTACTCCTGAAACAACTTATAGTCTTGGAAGCCCACCGGGGCGGTTCTACCCTGTCCTATAGGGTCGCTAGGAGTCAGTGGGCAGTGAGTTTGGAGTTTGTGGTGGCACAGTGGGTTAAGCTTGGGGCCGCTAAGCTCAGAGTGCATGGCAGGATACCAGCTACTCTAGGGGAGAAAGAGGGAACGGTCTGCTTGCAGAAAAACAATGGCGCCCTTCTCTGCCCTGCAGGGTCCCTCTAAGTGGGTTTGGTCTATTCCCGCTTTTAATCCAGAGGGTAGAACTGTTTCAGAGAGTATAGCCTCTGAAGGATACATACAGCAAGATCGGCTTTTCTCAACTCTGAACAGTAGTCACGGTTTCATCCTTCTAACCTGTTCTCTGTACAAAGGCTTTGTACTTTGTGGGAAAGGGGGGCTCTGTGTTTTGTAGCCAAAGTCCTATGAGCCCATCCAGAAAACCATCAGTTCTCTTACCTTCCAGGGCGTGGCCAGCTGTCCACTCCAACTCCATAGTTTTCTGCTCTCTCGGGTTGGCAGAGCCCGCTTGGCTTCACGGTCAATGCCAAGAACTCTTACAGGTGTGTTCCACTTGACTGAGAAGCCATCCTGAGCCATCAGTCCCCCAAATAGAGAACTCACTGCCCTTAAATGGACCCCAACTCAGAGAGACCTCCTTATGTAGGGTTTGTGAGGCTCTGACTCTTCACAGGACCAGACAGCCCCACCTTTCTTCCACGGAGAGGCTTATCCTGAGCCAGGAATCTCACTCTCACTGCCAATGAGTCAACTCGGACCCTGCAGGACAGGGTAGAACTGTCCTTGTGGGTTTCCAACACTGTAACTCTTTCTGAGAGTAGAAAGCCTCATCTTTCACTCATGGAGCGGCCGGTGGTTTTGAGCTGTGGATTTTGTGGTTAGCAGCCTAACTCAGAACCACTTCGCCACCAAGATATTCAAGCCCACCAAACCTCGGGTCTTGGCATAAGGCTTCTCTCATTGCCCTGGATGGGGCAGATGACCCCACCACCACCCCTTCTGCTGGTGAAACCCCCTGGCATCCTGACTGTACTCCCCAATCTTCCAAGATTCGTGTCCTCGAGCTAGGGCCAGGCAGCTTAGGGCCACTTGGAATCTTAAGGTGAGAAGATCGGGTCGGAGATAGGTAATACTGTAACCTAAGCTACAAGGGCTTCTCTTATTGGGGGCACTCCTCAGTCTTTGGTATCCCTATTACTCGTGCCCTGACCCTCCAAGGGGCAGAAAGCACCCTGGACACACGATTTGGTCTTGAAGCCCAAAAGAGGTATCTCATGGGCCGGGTTCAGGGAACACTGCTCTAAAGTAAAACAGCGCTGCCCTGAGAGGTCTGGTTGGGCTTGTCTTGGCCCAGGGCTCCCTATCTGTAAAAACAACTTGGGGTGATGCTCACCTTGACATTCTGAGATGGCTGGGGGAAAGGGGAGCTTCTCTCATGCCAACAGATGGGATGGGGTGGGGGTGATGCAGATGCCTGTTGTGGGGGCGAGGCTGGGAAGAGGCTTGTAACACTGCAAGGCCAGAAGTCAGTGACCTGTGTTGGACAGCGGTAGGGCTGGTGCAGGTGAGGGGAGACTTCCAAAGTGCAAGGGCCGGTCCAATCCAGTCGCACGGGCGAGGTGGGTCCCAGCCTAAGCACAGATGGGTGGGCTGGGAGACACTTCGAGGTCCGTTCGAACAATCACTCGTCACTGAACCGGTTAGGGGCTCCAACAGCACCCAGGAAAGGGAGCGCTTCCGGTGGCCGGGAGGGAGAGGAGAATTTGGGTGCCTTGGCGCGGTCCTGAGGCTGGTTCCAATTCGGGATCCTCCCCCGGATCTACGCGGCGCCTGTCCACGTCTTGCTCTCAGCCGGAACGAGGAACCGCGAGGTTTCGCCTCGGGGCAGCCCGTCGGAGGGTGTGATTGCAGCGCTGCCCCGGGCCCCGGAGAGGGCGACGTGCACAGAGTAGCGCGTCCCCGGCTGGCCGGGTGCTGCAAGGCAGGGTGCCGGGGCCTGGGCGCAGGCGACCGCGGCAACGCAGGGTCAAGGAAGGGGGCCAGGGCGCAGGGCCGTGGGCCAGCGGCGGGGACGGGAGGCCGGGGCGCGGCCCTTCCGAGGGTGCCCCGCCCGGGCCGGGCCGCGGCGGCGGCGCGCGCGCTCAGACCACTTCCCGCTCGCCCCGGCAGCGGCGGTAGCAGCCGCCGAGCGCCGACAGCAGGTAGAGGCAGAGGCAGAGGCCGCCGCAGACGGAGGCCGCCAGGAAGGCGTGGTAGGCGCAGGGCAGCGAGTAGTCCTTGAGGTTGCAGTAACTGTGGCTCTGCGTCTGGTCCACCATGATGCCCGTGGCGGCGCCGTAGAGCGCGGCCGCCAGCAGGTCGTGCGCCACGTTGACCGCGAGCCAGCGGGCGCCCAGCAGCGGCACCAGCTCGTGCTTGCCCAGCAGCGTCAGGAAGTAGAGGGCCAGCGTCAGCAGCCAGAAGAGCACGGACACGAAGAGCGCGAAGTGCACGGGGCCCTGGTACTTGCTGGTGGTGATGGTGACCCAGAAGGCGGCCCCCGCCAGCAGCTGCAGCAGCCGCAGCACGCCCAGCGGGC